GACACCAGGTTTGTTCTATGGTGATTAACATTTTTTATTGAAATATTTTTCAATATGTGGCTTTCCTCGTTTAGGCATTTCAGTTTTAAAGCTATTTAAGTCCTCTTTCATTTGATACCAAACTTGTTTAATTTGGATAAGCCGTTTGTTTATTATCCGGAAAGGACTTTTATTTGGGAATAATATTCGCAACAATCCTGATACGTATGTATATCAGTGTAAATCTAGGTCCTGACGTGGTTATGTATGCATAATAATTGCTGTATTTTTTTGTAAGCGAGCGACAAAAGAACGTTCAACTCGGGTAAAATTTCCTCTTAGCTACTTAACTTAAGCAACCCTGCTGGTAGCTGGCAAGAGACATGTGATTAGTTTAACGGGATTTAGACACAAAAAACAATAAAAATTAGTTATTATGCGAGGTACTTGCGTAATATATATACTTATTTAAAATATAAATCATGTATATACGAAAACAAAAATTTCCCTATCTAATTTCCCAGTAACAATTCCCAATAGAGCAGTTTTTTCATTTAACAACACTACTCTTCAGGTCGCGTATTTTTTAACCTACCTGGCTGAACTCGGATAAATAGCCGAGTTTGTGTTGTTGCTTTGCGTGTATTTCGTCATTTATGTGAGTGTTATTTGTAGCTCGATTGCAAAAGAATGGACCTATTGTAAGAAAATTCTCTTACTCGGTTCTGAAATTCCGTGTGCTTCAGGCAACCTNGTAGCTCGATTGCAAAAGAATGGACCTATTGTAAGAAAATTCTCTTACTCAGTTCTGAAATTCCGTGTGCTTCAGGCAACCTAGTCTTCTAACTTCGCAACTAGGCGCCTTAAAGTATTGCACCACTTTCCATACAATGCAACGGTCTTAGTTCTTGCTCCTTTTCATTTTTGTATATGTATAGGTGCATTCTTTTGCAACCGAGCTACAAAAGAACACTCGCTTAAATGACAAAATACACGCAAAGCAACAACACAAACTCGGCTATTTATCCGAGCTCAGGTCCGGTTAAAAAATACGCGACCTGAAGGGTAGTGTTGGTAAGTGAAAAAATTGCTCTATTGTGAATTGTTAATGGGAATGGGTTATATACGTGACTTATATTTTAAAAGAATATATATATTACGCAAATACCTCGCATAATTACTCATTTAAATTGGTTTTTATATCTAAATCCCGTTAAACTAATCACATGTTTCTTGCCAGCTACCAACAGGGCAGCTTAAGTAGCTAAAATGAAATTTTACCCGAGTTGAGCGTTCTTTTGTCGCTCACTTACAAAAAAATGGAGCTTATGTATCTATAAATGCATATGGTCGAAAAACAAAAAAAAAAATTACACAATTCAAAACTATCTCAAAGAACGCAATTGAATTTTTAATGAAAATTAGAAACTCCCAACTTGAAAAGGGTTAAAAGTTATTCATCATTTGACATTATAGTCGGTGTTCAAAAGAGAGAAATGTGAAAATCACTTCTACCTTGTTTAATATTCCTTGTTTAAAATCATACAAAATTGAGAGTAAAAAAAGGATTTGTAAAGTAGTTTTTGTTTGCGATTGAAAATGAGAATGTGTGTGAGTTTGTGTGTAAAATTTTAAAATTAAATTGCTTGCAAACGTTCTACGTTCCTATTTTTTTTATCATGCCTATGCCTTTAGTGGGACAGAAAACAATGGATCTTGGATACTTTGTCTCAATATTTGCCTACTTCAAAAATTTTATGTTGAACGATCACAGTACGAACTCATATTTAANTGAAAATGAGAATGTGTGTGAGTTTGTGTGTAAAATTTTAAAATTAAATTGCTTGCAAACGTTCTACGTTCCTATTTTTTTTATCATGCCTATGCCTTTAGTGGGACAGAAAACAATGGATCTTGGATACTTTGTCTTAAGTTCAGTCAAAAAAGCATGAACATTTTTTTTTATAAATAAGATTCCTTGAAATCTTCAACTATCTTGAAGCAGACGGCTGCGTTGGTCCGGATCAACTCGTTAATTCGGAATCACCTCGGAAATTAACTGCAGCTAATCCGGATTAAGTCCTAGAGTTATAACCAAAATTAATTCGGATCAAGGGAATTTTCGATAAAAAAAGTGTATGGAATGCACGGTGCAGCGAACAAAGGTGGCGCCATCAGTGGTACCGCTACTTTGGTTTTGCCGATTTTGACAGTTGTGGTAACTTGTAAATAAACCTTTGTTTACNAGTGTTGGTAAGTGAAAAAATTGCTCTATTGTGAATTGTTAATGGGAATGGGTTATATACGTGACTTATATTTTAAAAGAATATATATATTACGCAAATACCTCGCATAATTACTCATTTAAATTGGTTTTTATATCTAAATCCCGTTAAACTAATCACATGTTTCTTGCCAGCTACCAACAGGGCAGCTTAAGTAGCTAAAATGAAATTTTACCCGAGTTGAGCGTTCTTTTGTCGCTCACTTACAAAAAAATGGAGCTTATGTATCTATAAATGCATATGGTCGAAAAACAAAAAAAAAAATTACACAATTCAAAACTATCTCAAAGAACGCAATTGAATTTTTAATGAAAATTAGAAACTCCCAACTTGAAAAGGGTTAAAAGTTATTCATCATTTGACATTATAGTCGGTGTTCAAAAGAGAGAAATGTGAAAATCACTTCTACCTTGTTTAATATTCCTTGTTTAAAATCATACAAAATTGAGAGTAAAAAAAGGATTTGTAAAGTAGTTTTTGTTTGCGATTGAAAATGAGAATGTGTGTGAGTTTGTGTGTAAAATTTTAAAATTAAATTGCTTGCAAACGTTCTACGTTCCTATTTTTTTTATCATGCCTATGCCTTTAGTGGGACAGAAAACAATGGATCTTGGATACTTTGTCTCAATATTTGCCTACTTCAAAAATTTTATGTTGAACGATCACAGTACGAACTCATATTTAATAAGTTCAGTCAAAAAAGCATGAACATTTTTTTTTATAAATAAGATTCCTTGAAATCTTCAACTATCTTGAAGCAGACGGCTGCGTTGGTCCGGATCAACTCGTTAATTCGGAATCACCTCGGAAATTAACTGCAGCTAATCCGGATTAAGTCCTAGAGTTATAACCAAAATTAATTCGGATCAAGGGAATTTTCGATAAAAAAAGTGTATGGAATGCACGGTGCAGCGAACAAAGGTGGCGCCATCAGTGGTACCGCTACTTTGGTTTTGCCGATTTTGACAGTTGTGGTAACTTGTAAATAAACCTTTGTTTACAAATCAGCGCCAAAGAGAATTTTAATTATAAGTGAAAAATCAGTTTAAATGGTGTTAATTTGCAATTTGTTAGTGATTTTTGAGTTGAAGACTGCAAGACTGCTTCACGATTTGCAGGTTTTACAGGATTTGCAGGAACAGCTGTTTTCTCCATTAATAAACCTTATGGAAGGTGGTCACCTGGAACGGCTTCCTGTAAAAACCTGCAAATCGTGAAGCATCTGGAACGCGACTATTCTTGTATGGAATGCATATTTTTGTCCGTTGACGGATTCCATTTTCGGATACTTTGACGTTCCGTTTCCCACTATCGTGTGCGGCAGAAACGTATGTACAGACAAGTGTTGAGAAACGGATACGTTTTTGGCTGTTTTTCTGAAACTTATCTGATTGAATTTTTCGTTAAAAATGCTTTCCTTCTGCACTTCACAGATGCTTTTTCATGGTTCGAAAAATAAATAAATAAAGACCTGACGAAATTCGAACCGGGCACCTTTATAAAGCTAACAAATAGTGGCACGCTCCTCTACTCGCTCGGCCACTGCAGACTATGTATACATGCTTTGAAATGTTCAGCTTGGACAAATAAAATGCAATTATTGTTTTCAATTAACATCATCTTTCTCGAATGTTTCGAACATTTCCAGAAACCATAATGAAAGATAATTTTTCCGCTTGTGAATGGCATAACCAGAGTTAACATTCTGTCAAAATGCTTACCCCATTTTAAAATGGGCACGGTAGTCCCTAGCCGGGTCAGAGATGGGAAGGGTGACTTTTCGTGCGGTTTAGTTTTTTGTCCAATGATTTCGAGCTATTCAGCCCTATCGCCAATTCCCTGTGAATAAATCTTTCCCATAATTTAACAAGCAAAACAAAAACCAATTGGGAAAAATTGTTTTTGTTTTGCTTATAATTTTTTAATTTCGGGCTATTCGGCATTTGTAGTCAAGGGTCTACGCATTATTTTAACACTCACTTTTGTAAATTTTGGTCACTAATTTAGTTACCAATTGGGTTTGAAATATGCCCTTTTTTGTATAATTCGGAAATTAGCGAATATTTATCACTCCTATTCTCCTTAAAGCAGCCACTTCAATACATTTTTGTATTCCCCTTCACTTTACACTTTACTCGATTAGTAAGAACATGCTTTACGACTTTAATATTGACCAATTAATCATNATAGAGCCGATTGTGTCCAAATGAGTGGCCCGATCCAAAGAAAAATTTACATACTGACTTTATAAGATGGCTAATGAGTGGGGTTTTAGGTGTCACTTCGCCTCCTCCTCTGCCACCCAACCAAAACCATTGTACAAATAACCGAACATTTCCCCATTTATTTAATTACATTAGCAACCACCGATTCGCCAACACTTGACGAGTGGCGCAACGAACCATATTAATGAGGTACAACCAAACTCATAGTCCATCTTTGCAACCTTTGTTGTTGCTTTTACATACAAAAATTCGGGTTAAGCGAGCGGAACTCAAACACAGCGAGCATATTGCCACACTTGTTTTTGGAACTCAATCAGCCTTATCAGGAGTTTAATTTTTCCCCAACCGGTTCACTTTTTACTTTTGGTTTCCATGGTTTTACTATGGACAGATGACAAATTTTCGGGTGAATTTTTTTCAGGCGAAACTCAGGATAAGGCAAAATATTTCCAACATAAAATGAGCAAATAGGCATGCAAATTAAATTTCTGTGAGCATAATACACACGTACCTTTTTTCTCAGCTCAGGTTTGCCCTTTTTCACGGTAGCGACGAACATGTCACCAACTCCAGCAGCGGGCAGACGATTCAATCGACCACGTATACCATGCACAGCAATAACGTACAGATTCTTAGCACCTAGTAGAAATTTTAATAAAATCATCATAATCAACCCACATAGACGAACAAACTCATCTATGTACCTGTATTATCGGCGCAATTCATCACAGCGCCCACTGGCAAACCGAGGGAAATGCGGAACTTTCCTCCCGCGGTACCACCACGTCCTGCAATTCACAATAAAAATATTTTCTATATCACATTCAAACATATTCATTTTAACGAATTTCACAATATTTTATTTTGTATTCTGTATAAATTTCACGATTTTCTCCGATTATTTTTACCTCTTTTCGACATTTTGCTGCTCGCTTGATAAGAAAAGGAAGTAAAAGAAAGAGACCGTCCAACAAATATATATGCAAACGAAGTATCGATGTTTTTCAAACATCGATAATATCGGTTCAATTTTCTATATTTGGCATCGATGTTTACAATTTACTAAGGCCCTGTCTCCACAGGAACACACTGATGTCGTGCTACGCACGTTACAAAATAAATTTCCAATGGAGAACGCCCATTTCTCATGGGCTGCTCATCATGAAAAATTAAATCATGCGCTTTCAGTGATATTTAAGCGATTTTCAATAAATTGTTTGTGCAAATGTAATTACAAGGAAGTGGGCGGTGATTGGTTGCAAAAACACGTACAGAAATAATGCTACAAAATTGCTTGCATTTTTTTCTTTATGCTTCGTCTTCATATTCTTTGTTTACTTTTCAAAGATAGTAACATTGGCGCCGAAATTACAAACGTCAGCCCGAAAATTACTTTTTTTGCTTCATCTTGTCAGATCTTGTGTAGTTGGATCACGGGCAGCAAAATAGTCAGCGCTTATTGCTTGACATCATTGCAGGAAACTCGATAATTTGACAGCCATATTTTCATTTGAAAGAAAGCGGCTGGTGATAACATCGATGAAATTTTGATATTAAATCCAAATAAAAATCTGTTCCCTATTCGATTATTTATGATTACGTTTTATAAAGTTTTTCAGCAAGCTTTTTAAAGATTTAAATGTTTTTAAACACCGAAATTGAGAGAATGTTGTCTGGTGGAGTCATGCGGCAAATGCTTATTTCAAGGCATCAAAATGCTCAAACACATAAACTTGCAATCAGCGAGTGTTAACATCAGGAGCGCGCCTTCTCTTTTGCATAAATACGTTTTTTGATTTGATGAAAAGAGAAGGCACGCTCCTGATGTTCACACTCGCTACAATTATAACGTGTTGTCTCTTCTTATAGATTCACGTTCTTTGCCTGTGAAGTTCTGCAGTAACATCGCGAAAATGACGATACATCGATGGAAGTTTTACCGATGTTTTAAACATCGAATTTAAGGAGACTCTCCGACTTTCTTTCGGTACGTTTGACTCATAAACCAACTAACAAGATCACGCAATCGGAAAAGAATGAAAAAAGTAAATTTCTGAGCGTTTTTGACATTTGCCTAAGAATGGAAACAAACAAAGAAAACGAAAAAGGCGCGGTGATTGGGTGCGATTAAATTGGTATTTATTATAAAATATACGAGGTGAAACTTGATGACAATTGGCAAAAAAAAGTTCATAAAATGTGGATTTCATGATTGAGAGTGTTTTACAATCGCATATCATCTGCACGGGTCGATTTTTCATTGCCAACGTTCTGGCCACAAACGTGCACCCACTTTTCACGAAAGGCTTTTTGGCTGACCAAACAAACGCACAAACTTGTTCCAATCACCAAGCACTTCATTTTATATCATAAATTTTTAATAAATCAAAATTAAAATTAAAATCGCTCATAAAGCATACAAATTGCTAAAAAAGCCATTCCGAAGCGATAGAAGACGATGTAAACAAAACGGGAAAACATCAAAAACGCTACGAAAACTTTTTTCTGAAATTCGATTACAAATACAACGATGGCGGATTGCGCTATCTTATGTCGTTGGTTCATGCGTTTGACTCATGATGCAATAATACAAGGTGGTATCAGTTGTGACAGCTCGATTTGACACTGCCTTAGCTCAGTAGAATGAGAAGAAAAACGGGAAGATATAAATACCCATTTGTGGGAAAAATATAAAATTTCATATTTTCTTCCAAACAAAATTTGCTTTTTTATAGTATATTCGTAATGAAATGAAATAAAATAAGATAAAACACTTTTTTAAGAAAACAAAATGTGTATACTGAGAAAAAATATTTAAAAAAATCAACTATATTATTAGGCAAAGAATTGTTAATGAAGTAACACTGTTTCACCTAAGGCAGTCAATATGGCGGAATTAGAGCGAGAAGTTGCCAACCGATAACACTTTGTATTATTGCATCATTTGTTCGACTCACCTTAAATAATATATTGAGATTTTTTTTGTTATTTATGCCCTTGGTAATTGTGCACTTCATGGTCACCACCGAAAATTTATGCAAAATAATCGAAAGGGACATCAAACGACGCGTTTGCCAGTATTAAGAATCCGAAGGCGGAACCTGATTTTTTTAAACCGTCCAAAAGTTATTTGCAAAATACCGTCTCATTCAGCTCAACATTGTAGATGTTCACTATAGTACTTTTCTGAATTTGTAACAAAAAAATTGCGAAACTGGGTACTGTTTAGTAATACTAGGTTCACATATAAGTAGATTATACTCATTTTCGAGCTTAACTCCCTAATCTGTAATCAGAACAAGAGATTAGCTATATAAAATTCGTCCCTTGTTGATCTGTAATTATAAAATAATCTCAGATTTAACCGATAACTTTTCGGTGTCCTTCCTAGTTTTATCGATTGTTTGTGCGAAATGCCAAATGTAAAAGTAAAGAAAAGTGGAAACCACGGTGCAGCGAACAAAGGTGGCGCCGTCAGTGGTACCGCTACTTTGGTTTTGCCGATTTTGACAGTTGTGGTAACTTGTAAATAAACCTTTGTTTACAAATCAGCAAAAGAAATTTTAATTATAAGTGTAAAATCAGTTTAAATTGTGTTAATTTGCAATTTGTGAGCGATTTTTGAGTTGAAGACTGCGTAAAAACTAATACAATGAAGTGCTGTGTGTTAAAGTGCGACAGCCGCCAAGATGCAAGAAGCGTAGATGCAAGTGTAGCGCTGGGACGAATCGCTGCATTTTGTGAACCGCTTTGGCAGTTTCAACTCGTTCTTCTTTTCGCTCTATTCTTTGTTTACTTGTGGTACACAAATGTCAACGCCCAGGACGGCGCAATCTTGTATTCTATCATTCTTGCGCCGGCATATGAAATTGAACACAGCCAATGCGATATGCGAACTTCGCTCGTCGGCGTTTCGTGGCGATAGATTTATTTCTATCGCTTTGCTGGGCGATGGCGGCAGTACACGCCAAAGGTGGCATGTAACACGAATTATTTGTGATGGTTGAAAAATACAGTGATCGAATCGTTAATTCTGGCTTAAAATAAAATAATTTATAATAATTCCCCCTTGCCTTAGACTTATATTTGTTATCATTTCATCATTTATATGGTCACCTAACTTATAAGTGCGACGAAATGATATCACCTGGTTACCGCTCTAATTCTGTTAAATTAGGCGAAATAGAAGTGCGAACGGTGAACGACGGCAGTGCCCAATTTGGCGAANTTAAAATAAAATAATTTATAATAATTCCCCCTTGCCTTAGACTTATATTTCATCATTTATATGGTCACCTAACTTATAAGTGCGACGAAATGGTATCACCTGGTTTCGCTAGCGCTCTAATTCTGTTAAAGTAGGCGAAATAGAAGTGCGAACGGTGAACGACGGCAGTTCCCAATTCGGCGATCTTCGCAGTTCGCATGTTATTGTGTTTCAAGCATTACTGTATATACGGTGGCGATAACAAAATCTTATAACTAGGAAAATCGCCGGGCACACCTCATTCTTGTTGTTTACAGTTAAAATTTTCAATCCATGTGTACGTTTTTAGTTTTATTGCCTTCCTCACTGCTTTGAGAAAATGGAGCTGAGTTACCTTCAGGAAGTAAAAGCTATCATCAAATCTCTTGTGTTGTCCTCTCCTGATGCCATGAGTGTAGACGCACTTAATCGTGACTATCGTAGTACCGAGGGGTCGCCCATTCCATATAAAAAGCTTGGTTTTCAAACATTAGAGGCATTCCTTCGTTCTATTCCTGATACAGTGAATGTAGGTATTAATTATCGGCCTGAGATTTTTTTAAAGTTATGTTTTTAAAGGTGTATGGGAGTGGCCTTTCAGCTACAGTTTGCATAGTGCTTAACGAAAAATCTGATCATATTCATAAAATGGTATGTCAGCAAAGGAAAACAAGAACACGGACCAGAGCCAAACCACCGAGACTACGCGTTTCTCAATGTGATTTTACCAACTTTAACAAGTCGCGTTCTGCGGGACAGAAACCGGTTTCTAAACGATACACTGGTGATAGTCTTCCCACAAGCAATATACGCTTCAGCCATTCTGCGTCTCGCAGCACACCAAGGAATACTGTAATTAAATGTCAGGCGCTCGATTTACCTGCAGCGTTCATAGTTCGAAATTTTCAAAGAACAAGTGGGCACTTAAGTGGAATGCAAACAGTTGGATTAAGCTCAAAAACGTCAAACAGTGAAACAAATCAAACGCCAATAGCAAAATCCGTAAAGTCGTATGCGCTCCCTAATGAAAAATCAAGACCCATGCAAAATGAGCCAGAAAAACTACCTAAAGACACCACTAAACCACCAGCAGAGGATCTTGACCTCTCTTTTGAGAAACTCATGGAAAATTGTACAATTCACGGTAATGGGCCCGATTCAGGTTCGTTGCAGCAGTTAAGTAAAGAAAAAGAAAGTGAAAGTCAACCCATGCCAGTTATCCAGTTCCCACAAAAAGTGAACAGAAAGATGCTAAATTATAGTGTAATATCGAAAAATTACGTGTGTACCACACCAAAGGTGTTTGAGTTGAACAAATCAATCGATGAGAAAAGGCGAATTGATGAAATGGAAGAAGCAGTTCCAGCATATGCCGCTGTAAGTATAATTAATTTCAATAAATTCAGTATTAGGCTTAATCTACTATTATTGGTGATAAATTTATAGAACAATTTAGTATTCCGAATGGATTTTCCTGAAAATACCATGACATTTGGCAAAGTGATACCACAATATAAGATACCAGACAATGTTCGACGTGGTTCTATCATTGGAATATTTATTTCAGAGGTACTATAGTTTAAAAAATGTAAGTTTTTATCGTACTAAATATTATTCTGTTTTAGATTCACAGCCCGTTTAAGTTTTGGTTTCATATTTATAAGGAGCATCATGATTTGGACATGCTAATGCTTCAAATTGAGTAAGAATTACTAATATTTGATTTTTAACTCAATGTGTCCAAATTGGAATATATTCTAGACGATTTTATACTTCACTTGAACCTGAGGAGTTTTGTATTCCACGAGTGTGCATTTGTCCTGGACAGGTGTGCGCTGCATTGTACAAAGGTCTGTGGCATCGAGCAGAGGTCTTATCTTCAGTCATTGATAATAAAACTAAGGTAAATTGTGTTAATAGAATTGATTAGTATAAACATTTTTTTCAGGTTTCCTTTGTAGATTATGGCACAGTTTCAGAGGTAGCAATTGAAAATATTAAATTCTTGCTCACTGCTTTTGCAATTTTGCCAAAGCAAGCTATTCGTGGGTCTCTATCGCACATTAGACCCAAAAATTTGCACTGGTGCCAAGAATCTATACACTATTTTCTGTCAATGTCTTGTGAGTTGATGCTTTACGGACAAATCTCTGAAATAAACGACACGGTAGCTCTTAATTAAGTAATTTCTTTCCAATATGTTATCCTTTATTACTAATCTTTCAGAAACGGACCATATACATGGTTTTATGTGATACTAATGGAACCGACGTTGTGCAAATAAATAGAGAGCTAGTTGAAAAGGGATTCGCCCTCTATGACGAAGAATGGCAAAAATTCGATAAGGTGAATAGATTTCATTAACTTAGCTAAGTATATATATATGTGAATAATTCTAATCCAATTATTTTTACGTAAATGAACTAACTAGTCAGTTGTTTGTTTGTATACATATACTACCTTTAAGTTTGATGACAAGAATTTTGTTTGTTTTCTCTGTTACGTACTGTATTACATACTTACAAGATAAGTGATTTTATTATGCTATTGTGAGCATTAAGGGTTTAAGGTACACAAAATATATATTTGTTTTTGTGAGCTAATAAAAATAAATTTGATTTTGTAAAATTATGTTTATGTTTCAGTAATACAGGAAGATATACATATGCATATGCACATACATATATACACCTGGACATTTGTAATGTCCCATACACTAAATATTTGTGAATCTGTTTATTTTCAGGGAGATAAAAGACTACATCACCTTCGAGAAGATATCCCAACGTGAGACATAAATTTAAGAAAGAAAGAAAAAATGTTCAAATGTTTTGTTTGTGCTTATCACAGGTTTTCTATGCTCGAATTGGGCGAATATCCTTCGTTTGCAGAATTAATCGATCTTAAAAATAAAGGTATTGACTATGAATGGATCATAGATCACAATGTTTACCATCCAGGCAGATTGGACCTGCATGAAAATGTACCTGATGCAATCCGTAAACTTCCTTTTCAATTGCTAACGACGAATCCTTTTCGACGTGATATTTACTTGCAATTACAACATTTGATATGAATTCCTTCACAACATTATTGTAAGCCCAAGATGTTTGTCCTTATAATTAAAAATACACTGCTCAGCAAACCAAAATGATAGTTTATTTATTGGATTATGCATATCGCACACCGTTCTTCATAGGTGCATTTACCCAAAAAGATTGTCGGAAAACACAAAACTATTTCCAAGCTCATTTTGATTATATCGTCGGTGGTACTGCAAAACGTTCTATGTCACTTATTACTACGGTGACCATATTTATGGGGGCCGAATACGGGACAAAAAATAATTTTGCAATTTTTTCCACACAAGCTAACAGATCTTAAAACCTTCTTCAATGATCCTAAGTGTATTAGAGCTGAAAGAGCATCCTTAAAGTAACATCTCAAACCTATAGGATATTTTTCTCGAGATTTTTTCTCCACAAAATTTGTTACAAAAAATTCCTTAAATTTTAATACAATAAAATGCTAGTTCGAAGTAGCTAGGATATACCGTCAATTTTTGGATTTATATTTTTTTTGACGGTGTTACGCATTTTTTTCGTACGAAGTATGTTCGATAATATTTTTAAAAGAGAAGCAAATGAGCAGAACACATTGCACTTGCACCTTATTATAATGAATTTTAATGAGCTACAAACCTTCAAAAGATTCTGATCAAAAAGTTTGAAAGTTTGGTGAAACTTTGCAGAATTAATTTTTATAGTTTTTGCACAAAGTCGGAAATTTTTTTTTATATGGTTTTTGTTAGGAAGAAAACCTTACTTCCATAAAAAAATAAGAAACATAAAATAAACAAAATGAAAATAGCCAAACGTTACTAAAATGTCGAGTCCTAATTTATATTTTGGTCACGTATGCATTTTTCTATTCGAATCACAGGCATTCAGATTAGAAACTAATAACTGTTTATGGAGAAAATTACAATCATATACCAACATCACTTAAAACTGTTTCATAGACATGCCATTTTAATGGGTTGTTAAGGCATCGAAATGCCGAACACTGAATACGGGACAAATACAGGGCGTGAAAAGGAATACAGAACATTTGGCGTCCCGTATAAAATAAAGAAATTACCAGGACAATTGGTCAAAAAAGAGGACTGTCCCGTATAATACAGGACGGATGGTCACCGTACTTATTACCCCTGGTGCTAATTGATCTGTTATCTGTATCTGATCGCTTCTGGCCATGATAAAAATATTTAAAGGTAAAAATTATTCTAATGTTAAAAAAATTCAAAATAAACAAATGAAAATTTTTTTATTTGAAATATTCATGGTTTGAACCATGATAAAAATAAAATTATACAGCCTCATTGTGTAAGTCGCAAATTAGGCTAAATTGTACGGCTCGACAACATTGGCATTGCCTACTGTCGTGCTGAAATAAATAAACGACGAAAATTGTCGAAAATTGTACAGTGCTGCCAAGTTTTTCCGTTTTAATACACTAGTCGAGTGGAAATTTTAGGCAATGACGTGAAATTTTCGATACGATTCGAATCTCGAAAAACGAATTGCATTCGACACGACTCCCGCAATGAGGGTGNGCACATATTCTGGTCCAAAGTGTAAATTTCTGATTGATTTGAATGCCCGCCATGGAATTTTGCGATGAAAATTTCTGTGATTAAAATAAAATTATAGTTTAAAAAACTAAAACCTCCCTATTATAATTGCCATTCGTACTGTCACCAGGTATGTAACTTGAGAATAGAAATCGCTGCATCTTTTAGGCGCATCAATATTACATAGTTACATCCCGAGCTAATAAAAGGAAGGTAAGAAGGTAAAAAAGAAGGTAGTTCCATTTAACGACATTCGTTGTTGTTGGTAACCATTTGGCTTTTAATAAAATTATGATATTTCATCAAATTCATGCTACCTGATCACTAGAAAAAATATTTTTTTGAAAGCAGAATATATTAGGAGTGTTCGCTATGCAACTACCAGTAAGAATTAGCCAGTAACAAAATTCAGAGAATAAGGTACCTTACTCTCCCAAAGAGAGAAACTTACTAAGTTTTGCGCGAACAGGAATTAGCAAACATTTGCAAGCTTCACTGCCAGCTGGCGTCCACGGTTGCATTTCGAGCATAATGAATTTTTAAATTATTTCAGGAGGAATTGAAAACAGGACTTTCTTCAACATACGCTTCAATTTCTTTGTGGAAGTCACTGTCGGATTTCCTATATCGACAGCGCTGTCGAGTGCGTTCCGATTACGAATACAACTTTTTCAGTCGGGTACCTTTCAAATGTTTGGAGTTAATTAAATTAATTGAATAAACAAATATTTCATACTTCTTTCATTAGTAAATCGCAGCAAGATTGTTCATTTTTAAATTTAACAAACTTGTTGATTCAAATTAATGTTGACAAAAATGCATCCGTGTGCCACAATCCTGCTTGCAAATTCTTACTGGCAAAAATTAGTTGTGTTTTTTTTACAAATTATCCAGTAACTTGCCAGCAACTCTCCAGTAACTTCATTTCTAAGAATTCGCTTCGCTTTTCCAGTAATAATTTGCAAGTTTCATGAACAGCTGATAAATTGGTTGTTTATTCGCAGCAAATTCCTAATAATACAACAATATATTTTGTATTTAAATAGGTTTATTTTGTGAAATTCAACAATAAAAACCCACAAACAGTTTCCTTATTAGTTTAAATTTCATCCAGCAACATGCGATCAGCAGTTTTTCGTACTGGAAAATTCTTACAAGTAAAATTTATCCAGTAAAATCCAGTAAAAACTTGCAACTTCAACTGTAATTTTTCGCTCTCTTGAGAGAGAAATTGATTTCCCCTACTTTGCAAGTTTTGCGTACGAAAACGCCAAAACATGAAAATTCGTAAAAACTTTTACTGGATTTTACTGGAAATGAGTAAAAAAAACGCAACTATTTTCCCAGCACGAATTTGCAACTTCCCCTCCAAATGAAATATCAAAATTGTGTCCTCTCCTTGCAAGTTTTACTAGGTTTTTGGCTAAACGAACACGATTTGGTAACAATTGGTACCAACTTGTACAAATTTTTTGCATAGCGAACACTCCTTTTATCAGTACATTCAAAGATGTGGAATATGTTGGACTTTAAAATTATGCCGCCTTCATAATTTCGAAAATGGGGTGGATGACTAGGGTTCAGAACGAGTGAAGAAAGTGATCAAAATTATACTTTNTATGCCGCCTTCATAATTTCGAAAATGGGGTGGATGACTAGGGTTCAGAACGCGTGAAGAAAGTGATCAAAATTATACTTTCATATCGTAGTTTAAAGTACAAAACCGCGTATCGTCGTTCTGCAAAACCGCGTAACTGACATTTTTTGGCTCAAGCCTTATCCATCCGTCCAGAAATATGCTAGGAAGAAATGCGATTGATTTATAAACAAGTAAGAAAGTCAGTTCAGCCGGAGCCGAACATTAAATACCCGGCGCAAGTATTAAATATATGTTTTTCACCTTTCCGAAAACTACCGCTACATGGTAAGCCGGGGTGGGTGTATGTATCAATTTTGAGTAAATTAGCGTCCTTAAATTTCGAAATATTGAAGTGACAAGGATTTCTGAAGTTTACCATTATATGAAAAGCGGCCTCAATTTTAATCCGATTTCAATGATTTTCAACTTTTTCTTCTATGTAGCAAGCACAATAACCATACTGAGTTTGATACAAACGGTTACCGAGATACATATATGTGATCATAAGTGGGCAGTGCCACGCCCATTTTAAAAAATTTTATCATAAACGTGTTTCTTGGTAAATAATTGTTGCAAGCATCAATTTTGAATAAATTAGCTTCAATATTTACTGATTTATCGAAGATTTCGTATTTCTCTAAATTACCGTTATATGAGATGTGGGCGTAGTTATTGCCCGATTTTTAAAAATTTCGGCCATTTGGTATGCTGTACCAAGGCCAATAATTGTGCCAAGTTTGGAAGACATTGCTATAGGGGTTACATGTAGCCATAAGTGGGCGTGGCTACGCCCATTTTCCAAATCTTTATAATATTCTTATTTTTCGTCTAAAACTTATTGTAAATATCAATTTTGAGTGAAAAATCTTCAGTAGTTACTAAAATATCGCAGTATTCGTATTTCTGGAAATTACCGTTATATGGGAGGTAGGCGTGGTTATTGTCCGATTTTGCCTATTTCCAATACCATCCGTCCTACGCCAAAAAGAAGTTCACGTACCAAGTTTCGTTAAGATATCTCAATTTTTACTCGAGTTATCGTGTGCACAGACGGACGGACGGACAGACAGTCACCGCTTATTCGATTTCGCTTTTCATTCTGATCATTTATGTATACATTTGTCTATATCTATCTCGATTCGTTTTGGCTGTTACAAACAACCGTTATGTGAACAAAGTTATAATACCCTTGTGCACAAGTGCGCTCGGGTATAAAAAGAGAACAATTCTGAAATATGAGTGTTTTTACTCTCTAGGAAATAATTTATGCAGCCTCACATACGCAGTTTTGCATTATGTTGATACGCGGTTTTGGTTTGAACCATGATACAAAAAAGAAGGTAGTTTCAATAAACAACTTTTGACGGATAATACAATTTTTTGAAGTTTCATAAATTGTGAGTATTATCATCGGCCGTGCCACAGCTCTTACTGCCAATATATGGTTACTATGTTTAAGGGCCATACATCATGGATCATAAAATTTTGGATGCTGTATAAATAAAAGATTGTGGTTTTCGTTTCAAGGCAAACGTTGTCCTTCTGGTTTTATTAGTTTACGTGTAATAAAATACTAAGATACTCAATAATTTGTCTCATTGTCTCATTTGATCGTTTTAAACTGTTCCAGCACGTGCACTATCATGTGTTTCTATTTGCTTGCTCAACACTCCACCTTCATTTTTATGAGTACTTCTCTCAGATCTTAGTTTAAACAAATACAACTTGCAATTTTTCGATTCAACTAAAAAAATATAACAGCTTGCTATAAAAAGACAAAAATTCTCTATATTCCATGTACTGTACTATATGTATGTAAGTATGTACTGTTTTTGTTGCTTTTGGTTTCAGGTAAGTGTATATGTATGCATGTTAGTTGCTTTGGTTGGTTTGCTTGTATTGTAAGTATGTTCGTTTTAGTTAGGTAGTATTGTTTTTGTATTCAGTATGCATGTCGCTAGTCGATCGCATTGTTTTTTATTTATTTTTTTATTTAATTTTTCTTTGTTTTATTTTCGTTTTTTTGTGTTTTTTTTTGCTCAGGTTGCGTTAGAACTACTATATATTTCATTGTGTAAATTAATTTAACTTATAATTTTTGTTCGGCTCTAACAGTAATAATCATCGCATTGTTATTCAATAGCAATGCAGCGTGTTATAATTAACATGCAATTTTCTTTTGTTTGTTTGGTATGGTAAGGTTCTTTATGTTTTTTTTTTTTTGTTATAGGTATCATACTAAGTTTCATGTTTATCTTCAAAAATTTTTTATTTCTATAGTGTTGTTTTGAAGTCTCTTCGAGTCGCCATCGTCGTCGTTTTTATGCTTAAATAACCTGTACACTAGCGAGTGATTTATACAATACATATATATATACATATATATGTATATATTTTTTTTTGGTTCTCATTATTTCACTACATTTTATTTAATTATAATTATCATGGGTTTCATACTCGAATTAATATGTATTAAGTTTTTTATGCGGTATGTATGAATTTTGTATGTAGTAGAGTTAGTTCACCAGTTTTCAAATTTCGATTCTTATTATTAAAGTCATCACAGTTAGCGGAGCTGAAATTATGATTAATTGCTGAGGACATTAGTTGTTTTATTACGAGTACGAGTACACGTATACAATATGTTTAAGTGTGTGTCTTTGTATGGTCATTCACGTAGTATGGTTTTATGCATCATGTACATACATACATTCATATGTACATATGTCTGTACATCCTTCCGATGATTTATCATATTGTTGCTCGTCGTGATCGTACTATATAAGGGATATGCAATAGTTGCAATTGCATTTTTTGTTCTTGCTATATACCTATCTGCTCCAGGCTTCAGTGTCATGGAGTATTGCCCTCAAAGAGCGCACGGAACTCGCCGCTACGTGGTCGAGGTAGCCCTTCCCTTATCGTTTGCACCGGTCCCATGAAACTCGACTCTGAGCCATGAAGCAAATTTTCCTTGATATCCATGTCACTGCAAATAGAATTGAAGGAAACCATGTTAGCATACATATGTTCGGCAACGAAACAAAAGTTATCATTCATCTTCATACACAAAGAAAACNACTCTGAGCCATGAAGCAAATTTTCCTTGATATCCATGTCACTGCAAATAGAATTGAAGGAAACCAAGTTAGCATACATATGTTCGGCAACGAAACAAAAGTTATCATTCATCTTCATACACAAAGAAAACATTATCTAATAAACAAGGCTGACAAATATGAGCCTATTATTTTGAAAGTGGTCTTGTCATTTCAACAGTATGCGAAAGTCGTTGATTGTTAATTAGAAACTGGAGTAAGTCCAAAAAATAGCTTATTACAGTGGTCGTCCAGTATAACGAATGATATAATGTGTAGGTTCATACTCTATCCCGCTGGCCGCTGTGGTGTAGTGGTAAGCAGTGCGCGCTTTCACTCATCAGCACCTGGGTTCAAGCCGTGGTCAAAGCAACATCGCAAACAATATAGAAAAAAGGGTTTTTCTTAACAGCGATCGTCCTTCGGCAGGCAATGGCAAACCTCCGAGTATATTTCTGCCATGAAAAACAGCTTCTCATAAAAATACAATCGCCGTTCGGAGTCGGTGTAAACCTGTAGGTCCCTCCGCTTTGTGTGACAACATCAAGGCGCACGCCACAAGTCGGAGGAGAAGCTCGGCCAAACGCTAACATATGTGTAAGCGCCAATCTGCTATTATTATTATACGCTATATCCAAAAGTACGTTATATCGAATTCGAATCGAAAAATTTTATTATGAGAATTCAGTAAAATCAGTCTATATATTACATATGAACCCCATATTCCAATTTTCCTTAATGTGTGTGTTTTTTTTTTAAATTTGTTCACCTAATAAATAACAAACGTTTACGCGACAGAGGTATTTTTCTAGTTCAATAAACGCCACCACTTGTAAGAAGTTATTCTTTTGAACTGACGGTAATTCCACGTACGCAAAAATCATGCAAAATCATGTCATTCAAGCACATAAAGTAGACAAGCGTTCGTTATATAGGCATTCGTTATACTGGACGACCACTGTAGTTATAGAAATCAGTCAACACTGATGGCAACCCTTTCCTAACTGAAAGCGCACCTACAAGCAAAGAACCAGTAGCTATTTTGTCGTTATATGGAATTTATTTAGTTTCCTTTGAAGGTGATCTTGATCGTATGAACATGCTTAAAAATCTTGCAGTCCGAAAAATCATTTATAAATTTTACCACTATGTCAACTTATAGTACACTGGTCCAATTTTTGTATGGGGGAAACATTTTAATCCTAGAAAATGGAGCACCCCCTTAATTTTTTCCTTTTGGTATTTGTAATATCTATGCCAACTTTAAATTCTCTACTGTAACCAATACAGGGTGCTCAATGACCTTGAAATGCGCTACTGCATTGCTGTGAAACCGGCAAAAATACTGGCGATTTTTATAAAAAACTAGTGTTGCCATGACAACTGAAGCTTGTGATATTTTTTTAGATAATTTAAATTTGAAATGTTCTTAGGTTGCTGAACCAATTGTTTGATTAATATATGTGGGTCATTCCATTGAAAACAGGTAAACGACATGTTTTTAAATATGCCCTAATTATCTCTATTTCACTAGTAACCTCTTTTTAAATGACTACATCTGTTGAAAAGTATTAAAAAATCAGAAGAAGGAGAATTTGTCTATGGAGACTTTTATTTTATGCATAATTACTTTACACCAGTCAAAACTTTCAACCAGTTACAACTTTAAATATTTTTTTACCATTTCTATGAAGATTATGTAAACCTCATTTTCATTGAGAACGAAAGCATATAATTCATGTTTTACAACATATCGTTTGTGAAGATTACGTGTTTTGGCTAAAATTCATCTTTGAGTGCGCAAGGGTAAAACAGGGATCTTTCCAGTGTCCCAATAGTCACATTCATTTAAATGATAGTTACATAAAACTAGGAAATCGTTCGGTATTTTTGTTAAAGCAATTTTATACATTAGTTATCGTTTTATGTTAAAAAATATCTTTCGCTGTTGTATAAGTTCCGACGACATAGCTTAAATTCACAATTGATCACATTCTGGAGTAAAATGTCCCACCAGTCACAATGGAATGGCCCATGTACACAATACTTCTAGAGGAAAATATGAGCATCATGAGCATTCTCTGAATTTAGACTTAGTAATGTAAAGTTTGGTACCAGCACCTCTTTCGTCAAGAGGAAAAATTTTGGAAGGCGCCCATGTCCTATCTCGGGAAACAATTTTTTGGACCACTCTAATATATCACCGTGTAATAGCGTTAGAAGGATATTGCAATTTTCTTCTCCGGACGAGTAAATGTTAGCTATAAATTTAGAAAACTTTCAACTGGATCAAGGACATTAAAATTAATTAAGGCTTAATATATAATATTCTTTGTGAATTTTTAAATAAATTTTATGTTTTCAATAAAGTTCATATTTTATTGCATTTTCATTATTCGTATATTGGTTATTAAGTTGATTTTGAAAATGATCTACGTCCTTCAGTGCGATAAAATAGCAGAGAGATAATAAATTTTTATTATTCAAAACCATAAAAAGCAGAAAAAAGATATACCACAATAGAAAAAGATTTCGTAATTTACGCAAACACAATCCCTTAATTATCTTCTAACAAAAAAAGGCCTCTTTCAAGATAATGGGCTCATATAAGCACACAAAAATTGATTTTAAGCGCTATAAGCTCGATAAATAAACAAAATATGCTCTTAAATATGCTAAGTCGATGAAGTTTTATTTAATTTTACAGTATAAAATTACATGCTTTTTTAAATCATAATTCGAAAAACTTCTTTCCACATTCGTATACATACTAATGTAGTTTGACAAAATTTAAATAAAATTAATTCGGTTGGGGGTACTTGGGTAAACCTTGACTAGTAGTTGTGGAGTCGACAAATAATATATATTTCATATTAGCAATTGGATATAAATATGCCAGGGTTTTTGGCCGAAACATTTTCAAGTGTTTTTTTTTTTTAATATCTACACAGTGGCGGCCATAAAAAAATAAAATATAAAACGCTTTTTTCTAATGGCGGTCGCCCTCGGCAAATAATGGCAAACCTCCGAGGGTATTATGCACAAGTTTGCTTGTTCTCTAGTTAAAACTTTAGTTTATAACTTAGTTCGATAAGAAATCTCAAAATATGTAGTTATTTGAAAATGATTTCATACAATTTCTACTTCACTCTAAAGGCTGGTTTTCAGTATGTCAAAATCAGTGGCATTTCTCGTCAAATAAGTGAAAACACATTGTCAAATGGGAGCAAAAAGCGGTTTGTCCATTGATTTGGATCAGGATAGGTCTTTAGTCGTGTACATGCGCTGCGAAATCGGCTATCTGTCAGTTGCTGGCCCATAATATCATCAGTAAAAGTATGGATGTCTCCTTTATCCAGTTGTGTCAAAATTTGCCGTCAAATTTTGGCGTCAAAATATGACATAGTGAAAACCAGTCTTAACTTACTCGTCTTTGCAGTCGTCTGCCTCGGCAGCTAAGGCATTAACCACTGCTGTGATGGTGTTTGATTCTGGATTACTGATTTGTTCATCCTTTTGTTGCATAATATTTGGATTTTTCCCAATTTTGTTTAAACGCTCTGCAGCAACTGTTTCCATAGTTTTCCTCATTAATGGATATTGGTCCAAAACGCAATTAAAGTGATCTACACTTAAAGAAAATAAATTGCAATAGGTTTCCGCACGCACACTGGCCACTCGCCTTGCATTCGTCAACAGGCAAATCTCACCAAAATACGAGCCATCGGAAAGTGAAGTCGCAACCTAAAAATTAAAATTAGTTTTTATTTTAAGATTGATAATTTTATATGAAAACGATAAATGTCTATATATAGGTAACGCACTTTAGTCTAGAAAAACATATTTTTGTCATTAGGATAAAAGCTGATGTTGCCGTTACCAATTTAAATTGGAGTTTTCTTTAGGTATCTATACATGTGTGTATTAGGGTGCCCATCGAAAATGCTTTTTTTTTTAAATTTCAAGACCCTATCCCCTAATTTTACTAGTTTTTTGAGAAATATTATTGCCTATTTTTATAGATTTTTGGAAGGTCATTTAGAGGTCGCGACCTGTCCATTTAAGTCAGAAAATACGATCTTGTAGATTCATGAGATTTTGAATGACTATTTTTGATTCGATTTCAAAGATCGAATATGATCTGAGAAGAGGTATAAAATAATCTATTGTCGGACTTGGCTTGTTGGGATTTTTTATCGGGTAAAATAAAAAAAACCCATATTTCTCTTAAGTTCCACAATTTCAAAATATGTAGTACTATCTAAAATTAAATCTATTTTTAAATAATCGGATAGCTCATTTATTGCAATCGCCTAATAATAGTTCAAGTTAGGCGACTTTTCTTAAATACGGCCCTGAATTTATACTTAGGGGATTCCCTTAAACTCGCAAAGTCTTAAACCGTGTAAAACTCGTAAGTTTACGAGGTTTTTATGGGAACGCGCCCTTTGTGAAAAGGCGTAAATGGGTGCGTAAAGTGACTGTTTGACAGATTAACCAGGATTTTGTGAAGCAATTTTTGTTTCGTAGTATTTCCCATAACATGCGAGGTCGTTTGTGCATAAAAGTTGCCTCGTAAATTTACGAGGGGCTCGTAAATAGAGCTCCATACAAATTTTGACAGTTCTTTTACGAGGCTCGTCAATTTACGAGCCTTACGAGGTTTACGAGGCTTTTACGAGTTTAAGAGAGGACCCCTACTGTTTATGTACCGGACTTTCAGATTTTTTGAGCAGTGTGGCTGAGGAATTCATTAATATTTATTCAAAATTGATGTATACAATCGCTTTTTAGCAAAGAAGTTGTTTTTGAAGAAATTTTAGGAAAATGGGGGTGGAACTGCCCACTTTTATCACATATGTATGTGTATCTCAAAAACCAATTGACCGANATGACTATTTTTGATTCGATTTCAAAGATCGAATATGATCTGAGAAGAGGTATAAAATAATCTATTGTCGGACTTGGCTTGTTGGGATTTTTTATCGGGTAAAATAAAAAAAACCCATATTTCTCTTAAGTTCCACAATTTCAAAATATGTAGTACTATCTAAAATTAAATCTATTTTTAAATAATCGGATAGCTCATTTATTGCAATCGCCTAATAATAGTTCAAGTTAGGCGACTTTTCTTAAATACGGCCCTGAATTTATACTTAGGGGATTCCCTTAAACTCGCAAAGTCTTAAACCGTGTAAAACTCGTAAGTTTACGAGGTTTTTATGGGAACGCGCCCTTTGTGAAAAGGCGTAAATGGGTGCGTAAAGTGACTGTTTGACAGATTAACCAGGATTTTGTGAAGCAATTTTTGTTTCGTAGTATTTCCCATAACATGCGAGGTCGTTTGTGCATAAAAGTTGCCTCGTAAATTTACGAGGGGCTCGTAAATAGAGCTCCATACAAATTTTGACAGTTCTTTTACGAGGCTCGTCAATTTACGAGCCTTACGAGGTTTACGAGGCTTTTACGAGTTTAAGAGAGGACCCCTACTGTTTATGTACCGGACTTTCAGATTTTTTGAGCAGTGTGGCTGAGGAATTCATTAATATTTATTCAAAATTGATGTATACAATCGCTTTTTAGCAAAGAAGTTGTTTTTGAAGAAATTTTAGGAAAATGGGGGTGGAACTGCCCACTTTTATCACATATGTATGTGTATCTCAAAAACCAATTGACCGATCTCAACCAAATTTGATACACACATTGCGGTTAGGCTTCTTATGCGCCACATTGAAAATTTTTATTTATTTGTATTTATTTTATTTGAAAATCGAATAAAAACTACGGTGGAGCCCGCAACGTAACGGNATCTCAACCAAATTTGATACACACATTGCGGTTAGGCTTCTTATGCGCCATATTGAAAATTTTTATTTATTTGTATTTATTTTATTTGAAAATCGAATAAAAACTACGGTGGAGCCCGCAACGTAACGTTAATTTACAAAAACTCAAACATAGCTATTTCAAGACGGTACTTAAGGAAGCTAAGCACAATGTGTATACCAAATTCAGTCGAGATCGGTCAAACAGGTTTTGAGAGGCATATATCATACAAGTGGGCGGTGCCACCGCCATTTTCCTTTCTTGAAAAACCACTTCTTTGCTAAAGAGCGATTGTATATATATATATTAGTGTTGATGAATTCCCTAGCCACAATGCTAAAAAAATTTAAAATTCCGGTATATAAACAATATAAATTCAGGGCCGTATTTAAGAAAAGTCGCCTAACTTTGACAATTTTTAAGCGATTGCAATAAATAACTTATCAGACTATTTAAAAATAGATTTAACTTTAGATAGTACTACATATTTTGAAATTGTGGAAATAATCGAAGGCCAAAATTTAAAAAATTAAGAGAAATATGTTTTATTTTTTATTTTTATTTTACCCGATAAAAAAACCCAAGAAGCCAAGTCCGACAATTGGTAATTATATACCATCTTAAAGGCCAATATATCCTCTTCTCAGATCATATTCGATATTTGAAATGGAATCAAACATAACCATTCATAAACTCATAAATCTACAAAATCGTGTTTTCTGACCTAAATCGACAGGTCGCGTCTTCTAAACGGCCTTCAAAACATCTATAAAAATTGGCAATCATATTTCTCATAAAACCGAATAAAATTAGGCGTAGGGTCTTGAAATTTCCAAAAATAAACATTTCGATGGGCACCCTAGTGTTTATGTCAGGGTTGTGCACTTACACAAGTTTTCACATTTTTTACACTTACATTGTAAATAATTGTAAAATATTGTACAATATTGTAAACTATTGTAAACAATTGTAAAATATTGTAAACAATTGTAAATTATATAATGCAACTCTGATTGTCAGCAAACCAGCTGATTTCCATTTTATTTATTGGGTTGTTCGTCGCGTTTTAAATAAAAATGACTTCAGCCGGTGCTCCAACAAGAAATATTTGGAAAGATCTGAACTTTCAAGTTCAAAAGGATGGAAAAAAATATACGGCTCTGTGTCTGTTTTGCAAAAAAACAGTCTCAAATATAGCAACACAGAGACTTAAACAGCATCGGCATGTGCAATATGTATCTGCAAACATGTACATACAACTTAATTTTTCTCGATCGCTATTTTCTAGAAAACGTTGCAACTTAAACATTGATGATTTAGATGATGAGTGCACAATAATATATGAACCAGAGCACTTTGACAGCAGTCAATTTATGGAGCTAGAAAATTCTGGATCTTCGGTCATGGATACGTCCAGCGACAATATAACTATTATAACAACTGAATTAACTCCAGCTGCAGCAACATCATCATCGCAATCAACAACGCCAACGGGATCAGCTTCATTCTCATCAATGTCGACGGAAAACTTTAAAATACCACCAAAAGCAGCATCGAAGAAAAAGCAAGGCGGCATTAAAAACTTTTTTGACAAAATAAGCTGTAAAGAGGAGGATGAACTTAATTCTTTTGTAGCAAGATTTTTTTACGGATGCAACATACCTTTGAACGTAATAGATGCAATAGAGAGTTAATCAGAAAACTAAGACCGTCCTATGAACCCAAAATGCCCGGTAGAAAAGCGCTGTCCACAACACTGCTAGATAAGGAGTACGAAAAACACATAAGGTCTGCGAAAGAAGATGTTGATCGTCATTCTGTAATTCTTATTGATGGATGGAAGAATACTGCTAGCAATACCAAAACGGTGGTTACTATGCTCCATAACATTAATGGCATACAACTTTTTTTAGAAGCTTTTGACGTATCGGGCGAGCAGGAGACGGCAGATAAACTCTCTGAGATCGTGGAAGTGTCTATAACAAGAGCTAAAGAACTTAATGACACACAANGTCCTATGAACCCAAAATGCCCGGTAGAAAAGCGCTGTCCACAACACTGCTAGATAAGGAGTACGAAAAACACATAAGGTCTGCGAAAGAAGATGTTGATCGTCATTCTGTAATTCTTATTGATGGATGGAAGAATACTGCTAGCAATACCAAAACGGTGGTTACTATGCTCCATAACATTAATGGCATACAACTTTTTTTAGAAGCTTTTGACGTATCGGGCGAGCAGGAGACGGCAGATAAACTCTCTGAGATCGTGGAAGTGTCTATAACAAGAGCTAAAGAACTTTATGACACACAAGTTTTTGCTGTAGTGTCGGATAATGCTGCAAACATGTTGAAAATGGGTAGAGGTGTAGATATTTGGCACTGCAATTGCAGTGCACATGTTGCTAATTTGCCAGCTAAAAACATCGTAGACAAAGAACTTGCTAGAAAAGTGACAATAGTTTTAAAAGAGTTCCGCCACACCGATCTGGGGAAATGTATTTTGTTAAAAGGTGGCACAAAAATTAAAATCCTTGCTGAAACACGTTGGTGTTCGCATCGAGACAGCTTTGCTTGTTTAAAAAAAANTTTTTTTTAGAAGCTTTTGACGTATCGGGCGAGCAGGAGACGGCAGATAAACTCTCTGAGATCGTGGAAGTGTCTATAACAAAAGCTAAAGAACATTATGACACAAATGTTTTTGCTGTAGTGTCGGATAATGCTGCAAACATGTTGAAAATGGGTAGAGGTGTAGATATTTGGCATAGGAATTGCAGTGCACATGTTGCTAATTTGCCAGCTAAAAACATCGTAGACAAAGAACTTGCTAGAAAAGTGACAATAGTTTTAAAAGAGTTCCGCCACACCGATCTGGGGAAATGTATTTTGTTAAAAGGTGGCACAAAAATTAAAATCCTT